GGAGTTTGTTCGGGTCTTACATGGTTATCAGCATGGCTATCAGGTCTCGCTTGCTCACGTCATCTAGATGCATATGCACAAATTTCTGCAGGAGGCCATTCAGCCTCAACCTATGCAGAACCTGACTTGGCCCCTGCCATTTGCCAACTTGTTCATGCTTGTCTTAGAGCTGAACGGCCTCTCAATTGATCCAACTGAGGAGATTGACACAGTTTATCCGACTTTTGGGCAGCGGGAATGGCAGCATAGCGTAACCCACATCCCGCAACAAGTTGGTGCCCCAGTTGATAAGGCCTAAGACCCCGTCCACGACCAACCACCTCCTTCTGCCTCCCTTGTGCCACCCCAAGGGAACCCATTTTACATGACTCGCGAGGAGTACTTACAGCTTCAGCACTCTGTAGATCAGGTCCACAATACTCTTCACGATCACCACCAAATTCTCATGGGGTTATGCATGGATTTTCAGGCCCATCGGGACTATTCTCAAGCGGCTTTCGAACAGCTCAACGCTTGCCAGCTCGACATTCAACAGTCAGTTGCATCATTGCAATCTAATTTTTATACATATTGAGAGTCAAGCTAGCAGCGTGTTGACCAGCTCAGCACCCGGGTTCAAGACGAAGCATTCGAGACGCGGTCATTGATGACCACCTTGTTTACCCAACATTCCCCCCCCACCACCACCACCAGATTCTCAATAGTACTAGACTATCATTTTCTTTGTCTCTTTTATTTCAGTATTTACTTTTAGTTGTTTCTCTTTCTATACCCAAAAAAAAAAAAGTGTGTGTGTTACTATTTGCTTACCTGGATGTGCACCTACAATCTCTGGTAATATTCTCTCTTGCCTATTTACTTAGCATTTGCTTCCATTGAGGACAATGCCATATTCAAGTTGGGGGATAAGGGTATTTTATTTTGTACATTTCTATTTGGCTCATAATTCATGCTTATACCTGCTTCACTTGATTGCACTACTTCACTTGATGTTGATTTGTTGCTAGTAGGGTGATGATATTTGCATATGTTAATTGGGGAGCATAGTAGACTTGTATAAAAAAGGTTTATTGGGTAAACACTCGCATGTGATGTTTGCACTAAGATAGTTGTTTGTGGATGTGATATTAGTATACTTATCATGAGTATGCCTTGACTCACATGAACACACTATCATAGCGGTGACCTCTCTATTATAATCCTTGGTGCACATTATTAATAATTCCTAGTGTTGTAGGAAAGAATAAATGACTAGCCTTGATTCTCAAAATAAATAAATAAATAAACACTTGACTCGTTTGGGTTCGTAGTCTCTTTAACTCGAGTTATTAAGCCTGTAGGGGTGTCTTCACACCTAGTGCCCTAAAACCGTCAGGTTTTAGAGTCATTGGCCCAAAACTTATTACATAGGTTAATTAGAAAGCTTAACGAATCTAGACATTACACAGTTAATGAAAATAAGGAAAAAGACTTGTTTGGATTTGTAGCCTTTTCAATTCGAGTTATTAAGCCCATAGTGGTGTCTTCACACCTAGTGCCCTAAAATCGTCTGGTTTGGGAGTCATTGGCCTAATGCTTGCTACAAGGGTTGATTAGAAAGCTTAATGGATTAAGACATTGCACAGTCTTTAAAAAAAAAATTAAAAAAAATTGAGAATCCTGGTTACAAAAGTTTAATCTTGTCTGTATATGTTGGGGGTTATTATGAGTTACACTGGGCTATTTTAGTGGTCAGTTAACTAGTTATGGAGATTGCACGTTACACCAAGGTTACTGATGATGTGTTCTACTAACATTCACAAGTGCATAGGCCCCGTTTGTTTCACTGGATATAAAATGGAGGATATATAATATGACGTGGGATTTAGTCAGGATATATAATGAATAGGATATAGGTATTGGATAGTATATCCCCCAAGTCATGTTTGTTGACTTGATATATAAGATTGGATATATGTTATGCATGTTTGTTTTACAAAATATATTATGGGATATAACAAGTAATTTCCAAGATTGCCCTCATAATATTATATTATATTAAATTCAAAATTTATATTAAATTATATTATATTAAATTAAATTCAATAATATTATATTATATTAAATTCAAAATTTGTATTAAATTATATTATATTATATTAAATTAAATTAAATTAAACAATATTATATTATATTATATTATATTCAATAATATTTATATTATATTAAATTCAATAATATTAAATTAAATTCAATAATTATATTATATTAAATTCAAGAAAATATATTAAATTATATTATGTTAGATAGACAAAAGGGTAAATTGGACTTTTTACATCTATCCCAACCAAGGGGATATGATATAATGGGGGGGTAGTATTGTATATCCTCCACTTTTGGGGGATATACAATTCCATCGGATATTATATCCCCTTCAAAAAAAATTTACAAACATGGGATATATGGACCCCACTGGATATAACATCCAATCTCAATCTTCATATCCTCCAATCAAACAGGGCCATAGAACTTGATTTGTGTAATACTGAATTGCGGTCTTTACTCAATAAATTCCTTCATACTTGCCTATTGTGTCTTCAATGACTCATCATGTCTTAATATTGCACTATAGTGGCACGTGAGTTAATTCTTGAGTGGTATAGTGTGATTGATTGTTGCTGGATAGATGTGAATATGTTAATGTTTGTGGATATTATTTCTGGAAACCCTCATGAGACTTTACTCGTCCACTTGGGATAACTTTGTGGTTTAAAGACTTGTTGCATATGCTAAATGCAACCGTTCTTCGCACGAAAGAGAAGATAGTTAGATTTTCTTAAGTTTATTTTTTCTTTCTTTGTTTTTCCTTGCTTGAGAACTAGCAAGTTGTAAGTTGAGGGATGTGATTAAGGTCGAATCGTGCAACATTGAGGTCGTTAATTAGGATCTCTTAATTTTACTTGCTTGACAAACTATACATTTTATGCATGCTTAATGTCAATCAGGTTTGTACATAGTGGGAGTATAAAATGAGCAGAAATTTCCTTCCCACACATGTGAAGGCCTATTCCTGCACGTGCGGCCTTTATCTCGCAGCCAAACAGTGCCTTAGCTTCCCGCACGTGCAGAGGGTTTTTCCCGCATGTACGGCACCCTTCCCCGCACGTGCGGCAGTCATTACCGCATGTGCGGCCGTACCTCAGATTTTGTGCCTCTGTTTTGAACCTGTTTGAAAGAAAACCAAGGTATAAAAAGACAAAAAGGAGGTTGTATTAGGGTTCTGAAATTTTGAAGGAGAAAGAGGAGGCTAGGGTTTGGAAAAGGTGATTCTCAGTCTTCAAAGCAAATTCCCATGGAGGGTTCCATCTCTTCCACCTCTTCCCACTCCTCCATGAGTGGCTAAGCTCTTCTTTGTAGGGTTTTGATTAAACCCTAGCTATCTAATTAAGTTTTCTTTTTTTGATTTTTGATTATGTAAAGGTTTGAACAATTATATGGTGTTTTAAAAGTTTCATATATATTTTTTTCACTATCTCTTCAAGTATTCGGCTTTCTGTGATTGTTGAATGTTTTTCATAAAATAGTTTTCTATTTTTTCATATTCAAGGTATGAGACGAGCCATACTACGAGGGACGAGTCGTGTCGCTACCCTAGTTTAGAGCGAACGATTCGTACTACTTGAGATGGTTCGTGCCCGTACATTGAACGTGATGATTTTCTTGATAAATGCTTCAAATTTGTAGTTGCGAAGTATTATTTCGTTTGAACCGTATCATAATTGATTTCAAATTGAAACCTTATTTACGTAACTAGTGGTGAACTCATTGTTTTAGGTTTTTTCCCAAATCAGTAATTCATATTTTATAGTTGCTAGTTTATTCGCTTTGTTTAATTTAATTATTATTAGTTTATGAATCTCTCAATCTTTTTATCAAAATTAATTTAGGAATTTAGCATTTAAATTAGTTTAATTTCATAATTGTCCTTGTGGATCGATACCTAGACTTACCATTATTCTAAAAAAATTGATATAATTTAGTATTTATTTTTGGTATGTGAAACGACCAATCAAAATGATAGTACATCAATGTGTGTATATATATACTAGAACTACCAATGGTTATACAACTATACAACTATATCTGTCTATCTAACAAACATATCTTCTAACTAAATCTGGTAAAGAGAAGTTACACATTCTAACTGAATCTTTACACAGTGAATACGTGTACTCTCTATCATGGTTGGGGATTTAGAAAGAAATTTGAAAAGAGAAAGAGAAAATGTGTGTGAAATTAAGTAAAATGTGGGAATTTTTTTTTTTCATCTATATTTTTTATTTTTCTTTCCAAATCTCTTTTCAAATTTTTTAACCAAGCACAACATTAATGTTCCAGATTCAGTTTTTTTAGTTTTTTACTTCGGAAATTTCCTTTGTCTCGTTCTTCTATATTTTTTCTTTTTTATTTTTGAATCTACTTTTGGCCACTCATGGGCATTGGGGGCCAGAATTCTCCATGTCAAACCAGACGCCTAAAATTTTATAGATTTGTCATTTATAGTAGAGGATCATTGGAGAGTAGCTATTTTAGTTTTTTATTTAATTTATTGTCATTTATAGTAGAGGATCATTGGAGAGTAGCTATTTTAGTTTTTTATTTAATTTATATTTTATGAATATATATATATAGAGAGAGAGAGGTGATATGATTAAGTGTTTTGATTTTGATTTTATTTTTTTTTATTATTTTAATAAAAAAAAAAACTAACATCCTAAATGGGCCTAGATAATTTAAACAAATGTTACCACGTATCCATAGGTATTATTTAATATTGAGAAGTGTAAAAAATATCTTTAAAATGCATGAAAATATTAAAAAGTATATTAAATTTAGTAAAAGAGATTTTGTACTGTTCAATTTTTTATTTTTTTACTTGTACCAAAGGGCAAGACCCTTTATTTACAAGATGGCAGGGACAATTACAAAACAACTTTTATTCATTCTCTTAAATACCAAATCTAACTGAGAGAAATCCTACTTTTACTCCCATGCCTATCCTTGTATTCTGTCATCCTACTCACATTTTCATGTTCATTACCATTCCTTTCCACTACTGTACCATTATACTTAGCTTTATATTCCTTAAACAGCTCATCAACTGATTTCCCCAGCAACTCAACAAAATAGTTGACGCTAAATGCATTCTTCATCTTTTTATTCAGCGCGGCCACAAAACCAGACTTAATTCCCTCACAGTACTCCAAAAACCGTGCTGTAAAATCATAACCTTGATCCCACCTATCCCCCATCCCGGGTTTCGCAAAACCCTTTGGATAATAATTCGCCTTCAAGATCGTATAGTCGGCGATGCCTTCAATGAGTCCAATCGGGGCTTGGCCTGCCCCGGTCCATTGCCACACGTGTGTCATTTCATGATAAATCAAGGAAGTGAACTCCCATGTCACATTGCCTTGATAACCCTCCAAGTAAATTGCACTGACATTGATTCTGTTGCCGTATGTGATAGCCTCAGCGCCTTTGAAGTCTTGGATTGTCATGATCACTTCTTTTACATCTTGCTTTCGATCGGATGGATTGTCTTCCTCTAGCATTCTCCAGATGAAGTTTGTGGTTGTTTCCATTGTTTGTTTGGCATAGTCTATGCCGATTTCTTTCGTGAATCGGAGGCCGCCGGGGGATGTTCCAGCGATGTTGGTGACTGAAAATTGGACAGCAGCAATGGATTGTAGGGCTGCTAGGGTTAGTAGGAAAGATTGGAGAAGAGATGGGTCGTAAGCCATGGTTGTGTAGTATTGTGCTGTGTTGTGTAATATTGCGTATTGGTGACTAGCTCATATAGAGCTGGAAGGGTAAAATTGTCACTTCACCATCATAATGGTTATTCATAGTTAAGGAAAATGCTTGAGACCCCACAAAGGAGGACTCCCACAACCCCCACTGATGTATTGACTATTGATATGCTTGAATTTTTTTTCAACAATGATAGAGACCACTAATTTTGGAGCTCTAAAAAGACCACTAATGACATGGCACTCAATAAAAAAAGAAAAAAAATACAACACCAAGGCCAAAACATCAAATCATTCATGGTGGGGCCTACTACCACATCATTAGTGGTAGCACTAATTAGTGCTCCCACTAATTTTTCATTTTTTTTAGAGGTTGTGTCTGACAGTGACATGAATGATTCTGATTATTTTGGAAATTGTGTAAATTGTGTTTTGTAAGCGTCTCTATCATTACTGTATAGTTAATTCCTTAATGAATGTTATTAATTGGTATTTGCCAAGGTTATTCAAGGTTAATTTAATAAATTAAGAGTATTGTTATTCAAGTTTAAAAGTTAAACTCAATTTTTAAATCTAATAGTGTGACAACTTATCTATCTATCTATCTTTCTAGAATAATTTTTATATGCCAATAAGTATATGTTATGTGATGCTTTCTTCTATAATTTTTTTTTTTGCTCATCCACCATTTTTTCTCCCTTTTTATTCACTCATATATTCTCTCTCTTACCCAATCTCCCCTTTCTGTTCACTTATATATTCTCTCTCTTACCCAATCACCCACAAAAATCCAAATTTTTATTAAAAGGAAAGGTAATTAATACATTTATAGATTTTTAATCTTGTAATACATAAAATGTACTAGCATATTACTAACCTAGAGTTAACAATAATCATAATATTTTATTAATTTTTCTAGACATAGCAATAATCAATCATTGGCTAAAAGACTAAACAACATACACTACAAGAAAAAGCATTTTTGGTGACTAAATTTTTAGTCTCTAAAAATCCGTTTTTAGTTGCTGAAAGTTGAAATTTTACTTTCCCCGACAAAATTTTTTAGTCGCCACATTTGTCGTGTAGACGTGGTCAGCGGAGGTATTGGCGACTAAAACGTTTTTAGTCGCCAAAATACAGGTCTTTAGCGACCAAAGTTTTAGTCACCAATAGTGTTTTACACTTTTGAAAATCATACATTTAGCGACTAATAATTTAGTCGCCAATACTCACTGAATCGCCGACTAAACCGTTTAGTCGCCAAAATAAAGACTTTTGGCTTAGTCACCAAAGGTGTTTCCGTGGGGAAAAAAAAAAAAAACCAACTTTTTTGCTTTTCTAAGATTCGAACCGCCAACCCATCCCACATTCGAGACCTTTAGCAACACACTTCCTCCACTATGCCACTACAACATCATATGAATATATATGCAATATATATTATTTATATAGTATATTGACTGGTATTAATACAAAACTATATATATAAATATAATTATTTTTATTCAATATAATTTATGTAAAAAATAAATTATTTACTAAAAAAAAATTTAGGTCACTTTTGGCGACTAAATCCATTATTTAGTCACTAATTCTATAATTTTGGGCTACTATTTTTTTTGTAGTCGCTAAAAAATTAAGTTCCGCCTAAAAATAAGCAGTTTTGGCGACTAAACCTGTTTTTAGTCGCCAAAAACGTCCCCTTTTGGCTACTAAACTAAATTTTAGTCGCCAATTGACTGTTTTTAGCTACTAATTTTTTTTGTAGCCAAAAAGCTTGACTTTCAGCGACCAAACTGTTTTTTGTCGGCAAAACACCTATAATTGGCGACCAAACTGTTTTTCAGTCGCCAAAACAACCTTTAGTCACTAAAATCCCTATATTCGGCGACTAAACTGCCTTTTAGTTGCTAAAACCCTTATATTTGGCGACTGAACTCTTTTAGTCGGCAAAAGTGATCAATTTTGGCTATTAATTCAATTTTAGTCGCCAATTGTCCTACTTTCAGCGACGAAATTTACATTTTTGGTTGCCAAAACTGCTTTTTGTTGTAGTGATAGTTTAAATAATAACTAAATTATAATTACTAGCTAAATTAAAAATCATAATGAATTATTATTTAAAATTTCATTCATAATTTAATTATTACTAGTATAAGTTTGTACAATTATATATAGCTAAAAGACCATTTAAAAATTGATACATAAATTGTAATAAAATTATGAAACTTAAATTGTAAGTTTCAATATTTTTTTTTTTCATAATTTATATACAAAAATCTAACTATTTATATAAAAATAATTTATTAAAATTTTCACATCCCGTGCATAATATGGGTTTTAAAAATCTAACTTTTATTAATCAGTGTGAAAGAATTAATTGTGCATAAGAAAAATCTAACTTTTATTAATTGAAGCTCAAAACCATCACACTATTTTTCTAAAATTCTTATTTTTTAAATAATTAAAAAATCTTTTATTGGCTAACTTTTATTGAATTATTTAAAATAGTTTTATTATGCCTTGATTTTCAAAAAGAAAGTTAATTAATCCATTTATAAATTTAAATTTAGAAATTTGAAAGGAAAGTTAAGTAATCAGTTTTAAAATTTTAAAAATCTTATTGCGTCATTATTTACACATTTCAAAAGGAAAGTTAATTAATTCATTTATAAACTTGAAAAGGAAAGTTAACTAATTAGTTTTAAAATTTTTTTAAAAAAATCTTCTACCTTCATTGAATCATTTAAGAATTAACTTTTGAAAAATCTAGAAATCCGCTAGATATTGATTTGTGATTATGTATCAATTTTAAGCAATAAAACAATCACAATCAAACAATCAAGACAAATCAACACAACAAATGTGAAAAAACTTCAATTGTGATAAAAAAAAACCACGGGCAATAGCCACAAAACAATCCACTAAGAAGATATAATGGAATTACACAAGTATACTCTCAATTACCTAGCGAATCCATGCCTGAATGGAACCAACCCCTATGTGCCTCTTCCAGCCCCGTCTTCACCTCGGAATTGTCTTGACGATGAGCCACTTCAGAATCCACCGAAGAACAACTATATGTTTTGTATAAAATAAACAAACAATCCTTTGATGTATCCTCCTTAAACCATGAGTTGAATACTCAATGAAATATCAAAGAAAACTAACAAAATAGTCCCAGATATAAACCCTAGAACCCAAGAAGAAGATCTGGAGGTATAATCCTAGATTTGGAGCAACATGCGAATTTATAGAATCTGAAATCGCAAGATCCACTCGAGCGTGGGAATAGACGCTCGAGCGAGGACTCTATATGACGTGTTCCAAACCAGGATGTATGCTCGAGCGGGGATTTCGACGCTCGAGCGTGAAAACACGGATCACAGTATTTTTGTAGACACGCATACTTCTGGAACTCACAAATCTTCGCTCGAGCGGGGGAATTTCCGCTCGAGCGGACAAACAACTTTGAATGCACTTTTGCATTTTTGCTTCGGCGGCGCTGCCCCTCGACCTCGCCTGGGCGCTTCCTCGAACCCGCTAAGGGGCTCTGCCCCCTTGACCCCTACGAGCTGACCGGGCAACTCGATCCCCGTCATAGTCAGCGAAGTGGCAATCTTGAAAGAATTAAACACCACAAACTTCTCTGCAAGGCACGATTCAAGTTGGATTCCCATCTAATAAGCTCATAGCCTCACTGAAATAAATGTGCGAAAACAAGTATAACTGAAAGAAGTTTTGTCAAACGGGATTGACAAGAATAAAATCTAACAACTTTTAGTTTAAAATTTATTTTGAGCGGTGTAGGCTAATGGCTGGTAACTGTAATATTTTTTGAAATCTTAATATTTAGTTTGATTTTATAGTATATTACTTCAAGTTTCTTTGCAATTTTCATAAATAAATAAATTTTCTCAATGTATTTAGCCTAGGTGTTGATTTAAGTAGGAGAAACTAGACTAATTATAAAGATATTATTTTAATAACTAATTCTAGTCATTATTTTAAATTTTTATGAATAAATTTAATTTGGCTAGTTCATGGTAATTTTGAAATTTTTTAAAATTTAAAAATAAACAATTTAATGTTAATAAACTTATGCATAGATTTCAATTCATACTATGATTTTTGCTTCAATCAAAAGATAATTTTTTATAAATATCTGCAATTTATAACATGAGTTTATAAATTAAATTGCAAAGGTTTAAGTGCTACCAAAAAATTATCATAAATTTGTGCTATACATAACATTTTTTATAGCAAAAACCAATGATTAAATAACATGGGTGTTTTTATATCTTATAAACTCAAAAAATTAAAATATTGTCTACGTTTATATATAATATTTTTCATAATAAGAGTTAATTTCCAAACAAAAAAAATGTAAAACTAAATATTTTCAGGAAAATGATATGCAAACTCATTTTTTAGATGATTGGTTGATAATTGAAAAGATAGGAGAGAGAGTTTTACCTTAGATATCATTGCCATGGGCTTGAAAATTGGGTTTAATTTCTGGACTTATTAGCAATGCCCATATTTTTAATATAAAGAATTCAAAAAAGGAATATGATATACAAGCCACTTTCTAGACCCAATATGATGTGTACGTAATATGATTGGTTGATAATTAGAGAAGATATTAGAAAGAATGTTGCTTTTAATATCCTAATTGGTTACCATATCACAAAATTTGAAAATTGGGTCTAATTTTTTTGTCTTGAAGAGAGATATTCATGTGTATACAAACATTACCACATTGATAAAAATAATTGAATTTTGAAATTAATAACAATTCAAAAGTTAATTTACTTTCCAAATTGATAGTGATTTGATTATTATTACCATATGAATGAGATAATTAATTATTAATTACATTTAAAATATAATAACCAATGATTGAATGACATGTGTATTAATACATTTTTATAAATTCAAAAAATTAGAAAATTTGTGTTGAGAGTTTCAAACTCAAAAGTCTCACAACA